GCATGGCTAACGGTTGTCATAAGAGTGTGTAACGGCAGAGGACCCATGGATATGTTTACTGATCAGCCTATTGGCCAAACTCCCATGACCACAGGAAATACTGGAGGGGCTTGGGGAAGATAGACCTTGGCATGTGGGAGGACTTGCTGGGATGTATAGTTTTCCTGTGGAGACCAAAATCCACTGATTGTGGTGATGCGAATGTATCTAAATTAACTCAATGTAGACATTACAGAGAGAGGTCAACCTTTCTGTTCAAGGATCTCCACTGGCTGCCGTTTATCTTCCGAGCCCAATTTAAGGTGCAGGTGCTTACCTACAAAGCCCTGAACGGATGGGACCATCCTACCTGCGTGACCGCATCTCCGTGTATGAACCCACAGATAGGGCGAAGGAATTATCCCCGTGCTGGGCTTTTCTGTGGAGCCTGACATGGTGGTTGTCAGAGAGCTGCAAGGCCAAGAACAATCCACGAGAGTCAAGACAAAGAGCCACCCAGAGAGAAAGGGTTCTTACCACACATCAAGGGAACCACAACCTACGCACAATCTCCAGACCCAGCAAGACAATCCCACCCATGCTCCATTCGGCAAAAGACAAGAGGGACCCTCTCCGCTCTCTGTTTACAAACCCACGCGTTCACTTCGTTCATCCGGAGAGGCCCTGCTCGTGATTCCGCCTGCGTCGCAAGCGCGTTTGGTGGGGACATGAGACAGGGCCTTTTCTGTGGTGGCCCCCCGACTCTGGAACACCCTCTCCAAAGATCTTCAGGCCCCTCCGTTGGCAGTCTTTAGAAAGAACTTGAAGACCTGGCTGTTCCGATGTGCCTTTCCAGAATAGGAAACTCCAACAACAAGTCCCAGAAGCACTTTATTAGAACTAAGATTGCTGCACACTGCACTTGCCCTATAATCCTTATATATCACCTGTCACGTCAGCACTTTTAATTCTGTACCCATTACTCTGGCCCGGCCCAGTTTTATTGTGTCTTAGCGTATTGTTTATTGCTTGTTGTTTAATATTGCTATAATTGTTTTTAATTTGCTTTAGGTTGTGTATTGTTATGTTGTGTATTGAGGCCTTGGCCTTCGTAAGCCGCATTGAGTCCTTCGGGAGATGCTAGCGGGGGACAAATAAAGTTAAAAATAATAATAATAATAATTACAAATACACATGTCAACAAAACACAGAGCTGCCACATTCACACTAGGCAAAACAATTGGTTCTTCTCTTGAAGTATGAAACAAAACCTTCTTGTGAGTAAGAACAGTCCTTGAATGTCCATCAGTGTCCCATTCTTTATTGCATACGAGTAGACGCCAGTCATCACAATACGTGTCCTATCCCCTTCGCTACACACCAGTCGACTCCAACCTGCCACCGGTTTCGGCTCACAAGAGCCTTTGCCAGGAGGTTGGGTCCACAAACAACACATATCATGAATACACACATACAGTAGAACAATTTGTTACATCAAGTTTGTAAGTATATAATATACAGACACACTACTTACTCATTTATCGAAAAAGGCGTGCGGCCTGGCCTTGCGTGAAGCCCCTCGCCTGGCTCGCACCGCCCGTCGGGCCTGGCAAGAAGGAAAGCGGCGAGGGGCTTTGGGCGATACCGGCCTCTCTCGCCTGACTTGCACCGCCCATCGAATACACGGCCTGATGAGATTAGTCTCTCCCCTCCTTAGAAAGCTTTAAGAGGAATCTCAAAACCTGGCTCTTCCGTTGCGCTTCTGGTGATTAATCACACAACCTGAGACTGCTGCTACCCTCAACGTTGGTCCTCCTCTCCTGTGCGGAGACCTTTCTTGACCTCACGTCCGAGGAGTATCTCCTTCACAAATAACCTGCTCCATCCCTCTCTCACCCCGTGATACTAGTTTTTAGTGTCTTAGCTTTCGTATTTTATTCTGTACATGCGGCCCACTCACGGCCACTGTCACCATCACTGTGTTATGTTTGATTTTAATATTATATTGCCATATGTTTATGTTTCATGTAATTTATCATGTTATTGTGTGCATTTTCATTTTATTTATTGTATTGTGCTGTTGGGCTTGGCCTCGTGTAAGCTGCCCCGAGTCCCCGTTGGGAAGATGGAGACAGGGTATAAATAAAGATTATTATTATTATTTATTATCGAGCATTGCAAGCAGCGAAAGCCAGACGAGGGAGCCCCGCCACATGCAGAAGGGAGGACTTTCTTAGAGTAACACCAGAGGCACTCCAAGTGGACAGTGACTGGTCAAGGGACATTTCATCAACTACCAAGCTTGCAAACTTTGTGTTTTGTTTCTTAAAAAATGCAAAACAACTGTGTGGTTTTCTCCTGACAGGATCAATAATAATAAACAAACGCTCTTTCCACGTGCCATCTCTCAGGGATACTTGGATTGTGCTTTTCCTGCATGGCGGGGGGTTCTCATTACTATATTTATTTATATCCCGCTTTTTCTCTCCATTCGGACACAAAGCGGCCCACAAATTAAAAGCGTCACAATACAACCTAAAATATACAAATATTAAAACTGTATTGAACATCATTAATATTTTTTAAAAATTGGTCAAATTCATAATAGCTCAAGAAGCTTATAAAATCAAAGCAGGATTGGATGTCCCAGTATTGCAATACAACTTAAAATATACAGATATTAAAACTGTATTGAACATCAGTAATAACCATACAATCACATGAAGCTTATAAAATCAAAGCAGGATTGGATGTCCCATGTCATCTCTTCCAACTCTATTATTCCATCATTCTATGATTTTATGCTATGTCTAGACATGGTTTCTCCCCAGGGTGAGTTCTTTGATGTTTATGTAGAGGTGAACTACAAGTGAAGCTCTGTCCACACTCCAGGCATTTATAGGGTGGCTCCCCAGTGTGAGTGCTTTCATGTGAACGTAGTGGTCTACTCTGAGTGAATCTCTGTCCAAACGCCAAGCATTCATAAGATTCCCCCCCCCC